AAAGAATTCCAGTCGGCAAATTTAAATTTTCGCCAGTGCTGTGGCGCTTCAATCTTTGGCTATGTCTTGGGCTACTCAAATATTTTACGTTTTTGATACTAAATTAAAATCTGAAGTATAATTTTTTATTATTTTTATATTTTTCAATATATTTATTTTGGTCGTACAAAATAAAAAAATAATTTTTAACGATACAATAGTCTTTGTTAGGCTTAACATCGACGAAAATTCAACGCAAAGCGACACGCAACGGAAAAAAATTTCGACATCAGATACGTTAAACTATTTTTTCGTACGTAAATCAGTTATCCGGACAACCCCAGTACCCAATTGATTCGGAAAATCGACGCTCTACTGTATTCACATTTTAAAAATCAGATAAATTTATTCAACCTATATATAAAATTAATTAAATTGCAAATTTTTGTAAAGAAAATCAAAGAAATGTCACAGAAACTAATTTAAATAATGCATTTATTTGAAATTTTTTAATGACTTTTATAAATCTGATACGTTTTTTTTTTTCTATAGAAGAACCGTTTTAGCTGTAAAGAATTATAGTAAAATAGAATAAAAGTTCATCCTTTATATATATTTTATATAGAAAATCTTGCTAGGAAAATCTCATTAAGCGTTAAACTTTATTGAATTTACTTACGGCAAAGCCTTTTTTCGTGAAATATTAAACCTATAAATTTTCAAATTTTTCTACAAGTTATTTCTATGGTGGAAAAGTGATTTGATGCTATTCGTATGCTAATACACGCCTGTAGAAATTTATTGAATACAACGTTCGGCAAATGTAAGTTGAAAAATACGATTGTTTCTTCCCTTATAACAAAATAAATAAATAAAAATATTAAATTTTTTATATCCGAACGTGATAAGATTGCAAAATATTTTAAAATTTTATCGATCTTTAACAAATCTTTCACTCGGTATCTTCAAATATTTTATTAAAATAATACAATAAAATTCTTGTCTATATGAAATGCATTCATTATAAGCTATACAAAAAGTGACAAGTGTTCTTACTCTACGAAGAAATGTTAAATGTTCCCTCCAAGATTTTTATATTTTTGGACTCGGAGGACCTAGAAACGTCGAGAAATGTAAAAATATCCAAGGAATTTTTCTGTATGTATGGATGTTAGTGTGTGGGGGGACAAGATTTTGTTCACCCTCTTTGAGGCTTAATAACTTCTGTGATTTTTGTCGAAAATTTTTAAAATTTTTCTGGGTGGTTTGTGTATTAGGGAGATTGATGCTATTGAATTTTGGTTATTAAAGGTCGAGAGGGTGGGGAGATAATGGGGGTCGTGTGTATCTCCAGTAGGGTCGAATTTAATGACGATTTTACTCGTTATTAGCATTTACAAGTTTATATATATATATATATAAAACTCATCCCTACTCTCAAAATGAAAATTTTTGCCATTCTATAATAATTAAAAATATAAAAATTTTTAAAATAAAATATGATAACAGATAGCGGCATCAAATGTTGCCGGAAAAGCTAAGCAACTCGTTGCTGGATTTTTTATAATGGGTGAAGTTTCTGTGAGGATATGAATCTCTCTCCGTTCTAAAAGCACTAAGAGGTCTAGCATATGTGATAATATGTTATGATTAGTCCCATAGTGGGCTCATATTACTCTAGTCCCATGTAAACGCTCTTAGGGTTACGTGTTTTGTGTTGTCTGTATTTACTTTATTCTGCATGTTATGAGGGATGTTAAGTGTTTAAACTACATTATGCTAACTGATAATTTTTGGCCCCTTCGAAGTCTCGGAGAACAGAGTAATTCTTTCGTGTGTTGCCTTTAGTTTCCAGATGTTTTCCCTCACAAACAGATCCGATTTATTCACCAGAGAACGAATTTTATTTTTTTTACGATTGCATATAAAAAATTATAAAATAAATTTTAAAAGAATTAAAATACTTGTGTTTATATAATTACAAGATTAAATTATATTTTTAAGACAGCGGTTTAAAATTTACTTTATTTCACTAAAATACTCTTACTGTAGACACGTTGTATACACTCACATTCATGTTGCACAGGGCATAAACCACAATCGCTTAACACTTTCAAAGTCGAGCTGAGTTGGACGGGTGAAATTTTGACATAATGGAAACATATTATGCCTAGTGACAGCCACCTTTATGCACGGCCGCCACCTTGAATTCGACGTTCTGGCTTCATTCACGTACCGCACGATCCCATTCCCATTGAAATATTTACATGTTATGTGTTTTACAAGACACTTTTCACTTTTATAATACCTTAATTTATAGATACTTAAAATATACAGTCGACCCCCGTATAAGATCATTGATTATTCCGTTTTATATGAATTCCATGTTGTACGAGTCACTTTAATTTTACAAATACGTGTACCGGGCTGTGGAACGGCTCACGTATTTGTAAAATTTAAGTGACTCGTACAACATGGAATTCATATAAAACGGAATAATCAATGATCTTATACGGGGGTCGACTATAAATAACTACGATATTTTTATCGAAAATTACATAAAACTGTAAAAAATTATAGTAAAAATTTACAGTTCAAAGGTTTGACTGTATTATTTTAATGCAGTCAAACTTTTAAACTGTATAATTTTACCTCTGAACTACGGGCCAGATGGCCGAGCGGTCAATGTGGCAGCCTACCGCTCTGGGGGACCCGGGCTCGAATCCGGACGGGTCAAAGAATCTCCAGGAATCTTTCGGGGGGTGATCCGTTCGGATATGTCGGGCCCCGTCCCTCACCACCCGGCAGCCCCATTGTGGGCCTGGCCGAACCCATAATGGGCTTGCAAAAAGAGGCCCTCTTACAAGTTAGTGCCCGCTGTTTGGAGGTTATTTCGTATGCATAAAATTCTTGGGAAAATGGCCGTGGTTTAGAGATGACCGTTGTTGACGGTTCTATTGTATTAAAATATCAAAATTTTGCTTCATTTATATTCCACATTTGATAACAACCGACATTGATTAATTGTAAAATAAATATTTTCAATCAACTAACTCTAAATGTAACACGCGAGTTGGAAATATTATTCACAGTTTTCACGAATAACATTTTCTAAAATTAGATTTAATTTTCTAATCAATATTCCAATTTTGATGAGAATATTTAGTATATGTAAGTAGAAGATCCCCGTTGTTAAGATGTAAATGCCGTCGACCTTCAAAATTGGCGAGAGATGGATGGATTTTAATCGAATTTCTTATGAGGAATTTTTTACAAAAGGATGAACAAGTAAATTAAAACAGAAAAATACATTATTAGCTTAATGGAAATGATAATGCAATTATCTATCTAAGATATAAATTGAAGATTCTTCCATTTCTTCCCGATGCAATACACATAAACAGAATAACTTTTAAGGCTCGCATGCGGTAATTTAATATCTTTAATTTAGTATATAAGCCTTTGTTCGTGGATCCACTTTATAATGTACTTTTATGTTGTTTACCGCTTATTAAATTTGTAAATTAATTTTATTTATTCAAAATTTCAAGATAAAATTCCAATTTCAAAATCAATTACAGTAAAATATAATTCAATTTTTGTTGTATTAAATGAAACAAAATTTTAAAAAATTCTTCGGGATTTTAGGAACACAAAACCATGACTTTTTAGTATTTTTTAATCGTAATATTCACGAAACTGCGAGGAATGTCGAGGAATGTGTACAGATAGATCACCAATGGCCAAATGAATAAAAACACTTGAATACTGATGTTTAGGTGTTATATGGTGTCCCATGGAGAAAACCAGGAAAACTCCACGTTGGTTGGGCTGGCCACGTGGAGTTTTCCTGGTTTTCTCCGTGTGTATAACACCTAAATACAACTCATAGATAAAAATTTACTTAACTGAAAGTTTAGTGTACATTTTCTCACGAATAACATAGAGTACAAAACTTTTTTAACACTACATAAACACTGTCTATGTATATTTATTATACCAATTAATCAGGCAAATTAACTCAAACAAATGGAAATAAAATGACAAAAAATCGGATAACAGGATTTTTGTCTAGGAGTTGTAGGAGATAATTTCCCATATCACGTGTTTATCGCCTAAATAGGGACCTTCCCATAAAACGTCCACCGAGAAGCTCACCCTTTTGGCAGATCTTTCACGTATTGCGTTGCCTTATTCCATCAATTCGATTCAATCCACTCCAGATGCAGACAGAAGAGGTTCGATAAGTCCACCTTTTTCTGTATCTTAATCATGGAGGGCCTCTAAATATATAAAAAAAGAAAAAATATGGTGTGAAAATGAGTGGTAAAAAATATTTATTTGTTTTATTTTAGTCGTATATTTTTATGAAGTACAGTACTGATACTTCTGGGAGCCTGAAGCGCTCAGCTCTTGAGGGAGCCCATTTAACCTAGAGTAAGGGAGCTCCGATTTCTTGCACCAAGCTCCAAGTAAAGTTTACGTGGCCCTGATATTTGTTATTGTAATATTTATGTACAGAAATTTGTGGTTTCGGTTAAATTAACTGATGTCTGTGGAGTACTAGTGTTAGGGTTCCATAGATATAAGCCTGTTTTAACGGTTTTGGAGAACAATAGAAACATATATTTGTGAATTAAATACAGTACACTCTCGATATAGTGAGTTCTCGAAAGATTTAGCTCAATCTTTCTCAATATCGAGTTCGCTATATACGTAAAGAATAGCAAGAACCACAAAAATAGCAAGAATAGCAAAGAGCAATAGTAAAGAATATCAAAAACCACAAAAAACACAAAATGTGTTCTGTATGTCTATACTATGTTGTGTTTATTGAAAGAATAGAAGAACGTTCATTTTATATTCTCTCAACAGAACTTTGAAATGTGTTCGTATTCTACAGGGTGGCCCAAAAGACAATTAACAAGATATATTTTTTAAAACCTTAAAAATATATCCCAGTTACCTGACTATTGATCCATTCTGTATTTAATGTATCGACTGTTGTTTCGTCCCCAATGTCAAAGTTATCGATAACAAGTTCAACAAATTTTATTCTAGATAATTTATAGATTAAACGTACTAAAATGAAAGCAATAAATACTTTTCTATCAGCAGCAGAAAGTATTAAGAGTCGTCGTAAATTCTAGTATCGATTCCAATATCCTGTTAGAAGATTTCTCACCAGTGACATAGGACGTCGCTTCGAGAAAGAGGAAATGTCTAGGACGCCATGTTTGGACATCTCGACCGATTAAAGTGACAAATAAAACCATTCAAAAATCCTCAAAATTTTACTGATCTTAGAATCAATAGTGAGTTTTAGGGATATGTAAGGTAAATAATAACAATCTACGAAGTTCTTTATTATAATCTGTAACTTTATGTATGTTACAAATTAATATCCATTTTCTTAAGCATCTGCAATGCTGGGTCCATTAGAGCCGGGCACTGGGGTCCATAAACTTTAGATGGGTCCATTAGAGGAGAAAAAATTATCCGTTTTCTGATTATTTTTTCTAAATAATAACTTTGGCCATAAGCTAACATTTATACTAGATTATTTTTTTACTCCAATATCGTTATTTGTATAAGCAGGGTCTCCGAAAGAAGACCCAAAATGGTCCTTGTACCGTCAGCTCTCCATTCTCTCCAGGGCCTTGTATATGGATGTCCGCACAATAGGCACACCGACTTAAAACATAGTTATAGTTTTTATATAGTTAGCAAGTTTAATAAATATATTTAAATGATGTTTTATTACCAAATTCATACATTTATACAGCAAATCAACGCTTAAATGGCATAATCGATGGAATAAAACAACGCAACACGTGGGCAATCTGCCCTTTTCCACCGGGAGGACTTTCTATGGAAAACTGGCACCAATATAGGTGTTAGACACGTGATGAAAACCAGGAAAACACGTAATCAGCTCGTTGATCGGGTGCGAACCCACGACCAACGTTCAGTAATGTCATCTACTCATCCAGCTAATGGACTGGCTTCGAAGTGAGTTTTATGTTGGAGTGAGACTGCTCGAAATCATATTTTTATTTATAATTTACAGATTTATTTTCGTATTACTGTATTTAAAATTAATGAAGTTCATTTATTATAAGCTCACCTCGTGTCAACGATAAAAATTATCACTTAATTTTATACTTTCTTTCAACTCCGGATGTAAATCAGGAGCTGAAAGAAAGAGCTTTCTACCTTCCCTGATATATTTAAAAGTCTATTTTTTGAATTTATTTAAATAATTTTCATATATTTTATCTTAATTTTTTTTAAGTGAAATGCTATATTTTTATGTAGAATAAAAATAAATAAATGCGATAAATATGAAATTATTTTTTATTCATCAAATCGAGAAAAAAAAAATCTAAATTAATTCGAAACATTGCGTTGAATGGCTGACGAGAGCATTTTCGACAGACAGAATGAGTGATGAAGAAGTATGGAGAAGAGTAGAGGGAAAACAAAGATTGAAGGAACACTTAAGAAGAGGAGTAGGGTTCAGACAATCAGGCGGATGTTCTATACTTCATAAATGAGGAGTTGAGGGAAAAACACCAAGAGGAAAATCTAAGTAGAAAGCTTGGATGTAAAAAGAAAAAGAAGAAAATGAAATCTTAGTGTGTGATCAAACAGCTAGCTAAGGAAAGGAAAATGCTAAGAAAGCAAGTAACATGTTACTTACTCCCTCTTAACCCGTGGATTGGCGAATCCATGGGTTGAGAGGGAGTAGGCAACTGTAATAAGGCAACGCAAGACACGGGTGATCTGCTGAAAGGTGCCCTCTTTCCATAGGAAACTGACATCTATTTAGACATTACACACGTGAGAGAAACCGGGAAAATTCCATGCCGTTGATAGGGGGAAAACTCGCAATCAATTAGCAGTGTTCGATGATTTCGTACACTGGACAATGCGGGCAGAGAAAGAAGAAAACAATTACGTTAATATAGTAAAACTTGCGTAAACCGGAATCGAATATTTTTCCCGTTTAGGCGGGTTTTCCTTTCATTCGGGTTCTTTTTTAACAGGTTTTACTGTATAACTTTTAAAATGATGTATTTACTAACAGGGTTTAAAAAGTTTTTGATGTTTTACATTTAAAATGTATATAAATGTATACATCTGAATATTATACTATACTATTATATGAAATGTATACTATCTTCCATGAGAAATTAAGTGGGATGTGGAATAAAATGTTTATCCTTTAAGATACTAGAACTTGTATTAATACTTTAAATAAATTTAATATTTTCTTAAACGATTTCGCAAATTCTTCTCTTCTATAAACTAATTGCTGTTGATTGAACGTTGTTCCCGGACAAAAAGTCAACACTAATTTTATAGGTTCACACGATGTATTGTATCCGCCATCTCGATCTTAATAAAATTTTCATGTAAACTAAACTTCCCTTTAGAAAATTATTAATTAAATCAGAGTAGGTTAGACAAAGCAACGACAAACTACGGCATAAAGTCATTAATAATCATTAATGTGTAGTTTATCTGACACTTGAAAGTCGAGCCGAAAACTGTTGATCGGAATGCTTTAATTACAACAAAATAAGCATTTTTTTTTCCTTTTTATTTTATATATTATTTATTATTCGCCTTTATAAATGTAAATGTCTTGCGTGAATCTTTTCACGTACTTTTATAGATAATACAAGTCTAGTGTAACACATACAGTTTTGACTAAATGGATAAAACCTTTGAATGCTAGCAGTTAATTGCGAGTTCCCACCTCATCGTATGCACTTCCCAATTTAAGGGTCCATCGTCCGAATTGAGATCAATTTCCCATAGAAAGTTCTCTCGGCTGTCGTAAATTAATAAAAATATTTCTAACTTCTCTCGCCTGTACTTTGAAATTGTATCCATTCGCATCAATGACCTTACATCTATTCTACTATAAAAAGTGACTCCTTTATAACTTAATGACAGTTAAATTTATAAGAATAAACCTATAATAAATTTTAAAACTTGACATTAAAGTAGTTACGACCTTATATTTTTCCGATATTTATCATCCCCGATACTTTTATGCTCATATATATTGACACTTCTTTATTTCTCTAAGCTACATACTTCTATGCATTGATATACGGTATTATACCCGCATTATAATATATTTTTACACGTAAAAACTCCTATTTTTCGTGCAAATAATCTCAATTTTTAAGCCGTAAAAACTAAAAGTGTACGCATTTAAAAAACAAACCTCCCCTTAAAAAAATGGCCGCCGTTGAGAGGTGGTTGTTGTTGGAGGTTCGACTGTATAAGGTTAAAGGTTATGAGTTAGGCCTTTCTTAACGGGTGTAATAAATGTATATAAAACAATTAACAAATTAAAATAAAATTATATATATTTATTGTATAAATTCAACGACATTAAATAATTTTTGTAAATATTTGTAAAAGAAATTGGAAACAAAAAAATAAATTGTCAATAAAGCAAAAAAGAAGTACTGAATTGAATATATATTCCACTTTTAGGAAATTTCGCATAAAATTCTTCAAAAATTCAATATTTGATCTTCAGAATCCATCAACGAGTCTTTTATTGCTCGTGTATTGATTGATGTCCGTGTACATTGTCAAAATATTCAATTACAATACACTTACTGCCATCTGTTGTAAGTATTTTCAATTAGAAAATTATATTCCGAACTTTATTCGAAAAATAAATAAATAATAAACGTTTAAAAATCGAAAATCGTGAAAATGTGTTTAAAAAAATTATTTAAAATATTTTATTTTTAATAAAAATAAAAATACATATTTTTTTCTATTTACAGGAAATAGGAATTGTAACGTATTACGCAATTATAGATAAATATTATTTATTTATAAAATACAGTATCATGTTACGAAAACGATTAATTAGCAGTTAAAAATATTTTTGATTTTTCCGTGTTATATGAATTCTATGTTGTACGAGTCACTTAGATTTTACAAATACGTGAGCCGTTCACAGCCCAGCACACGTATTTGTAAAATCTAAGTGACTCGTACAACATGGAATTCATATAAAACGGAAAAACTATAGTGTTATAGGGGATCGACTGTAAAATAAAATAAAATATTATGTATAAATAAATAATCATTATTCAGGTATTACTTTGCTTTTTCTGATATTAAAATATTATTATTAATTTAATTATAATAAACGCGAGCAAAGTATTTATATTATTATATTAGAAAGTCAACATTACATATATAACAATAGAATTAATATATTTTTATGGTGCGCAATAACTAATTTTAAATTATTAGATAGAGCCAAACATACTTACATATATATTCCATAGACGTGACTTTACATTAGAAATTATCTGTATAATAAGTCAAGAATGTCAACGTGTCACCCTTTAGACGCTAATGCCATCTGGTGATAATTATACGAACTGTGTCTTTACTTACGTATTATTACGAAATGTTCTGTGTTAACATAGGTTTAAAATGCTTTCGTTGTGTCAGCCTTAGAAATAGAACAGAATGAAGAACTTAATCATTTTATTTGGGTTTTTTTTCCTAATTTTGAAAATTAACGAGTCGATCAGAAACATAAAAGATAATCTACGGCATTATCATTTAGCTGTATTTGTACGTTTTGAATGTACCGGGATGCAGCTGTGTTATTTATACGTAAATTTCCCCGCAGTTATCTATAAATGGTTCCCAATAAAATGGCAAAATATCTCAAAAATCTCTTCTGTATTAATATCATAAATAAAAATTATTAGTTTAAAAAAAAAAATGTGTTCTCGTAAACGAAAATAATATTGACGAATAACAAACGAAAATTTAACACTAAACAAACATAACAACGCAATAATAAACAAAAACAATGAGAAATAATACATTTTATTCGGATTCGTATATTTTATCCCTCTAGATGGCGCCACTTAACTGTTAAATTTTTTAACCCCCCTTTTAACATTATTTTCGTGCGTAAAAGTACATTTTAAAAATGTATTTAATTGAAACAACTGATTTTTATAGTTATTAATATATTTAATTTATTATAAATCTTATTATAAAACATTTTTTAAACTTAAAAATAGCTGAAAAATAATGAAAATCTCGAACAAAAAAAAAAAATGCGAGAAACAATCAGAGAAAAAAAAATTGAGAATGTCAAACGTATTAAAGTTCCATATATAAAGGCATTTTTGAAAAGATGAAGAAAATATCGATAGATTATAATATCCAATTAATCCCAGAACGCGCTAATACTATAATGTGGTGAATTAATAATAAAAAGGATAAGAAAATAAAAACAATCGACAGTATATATTAATCTGGGCCTCCTACCCCTAAGGTTTCTATACCTGATCTCGTCTTTCATTTATCTAACTCCGTCCTCGAAATTAAGAAAAGACAGAAGGACAGTGGGACAGAGAATTTATAGGTCTACATTTTTTCAAATTGTAGCCCAATTAATGGGGTTACATACGGTACCGAGTCTGTATTTGATAATTTGGAAGAGATAGGGAGGCTGAGTGAAGTACGTGTGTGAAACTACACCCCTTTTAAATATACCCAATCCTTGAATAATATGGTCTCAGTGCATTTGTAAAGCCGTCGACAGCTAAGTGTACGGTCTTAAACACTTTGATTCCTAATAATTTATAATTTTAACGTTTTGTGAGTCTTGTAATAAATTCTTTAGGGAAAATTTTGCCTTATATTTTATAAATGTCGTTCTCCTAACTGAAGAGAGTCATTAACACCGGGAACCGAAATGCATTTTAAGGATATTATAGGGAACCCTTTCGCTGTAATAATAATTCTACGAACGTGTAATAAAGTATATTTTTATTAAATATTAAAAACGAAAACAAATTTATAATTAAAATCTAAGTGCAATAAATTATAAATTTTTTTAAACATTTATTGTTATTTTAATATAATTATTAGAAAATTAAATAATTAAACACACGCAAAAATTAATATAAATTGTGAAATTATGTGGTTAAAATAATAATGATTGTAACGCTTACCGAGTAGAGAATTGCTTATTGTCGCCATCTGGTAACAAGAAAATACATTAAATTTTTTACAAAATTAATATCCGGCTATTCTAAAGATGCTGTAAACTGCTTTTTAAGGCCTTACAAACCGTAAAAAATACGTCTTTATACTAGTTTTCTGAGATCCAGCCATTTGCTTGGTTTTCTAAGAGCTCCAGCAACATATTAATTAAGCTATTTGACCTCAAATTTTTTTACTGTAAGAAAACTATAATTAGATTTCACACTTTTATTTAGCAGGAAAACTAAGAGTTCGAAAGTCATTAATGAATACAAGCAAAATATGCGTGCATATAGCAAATAATAATGATATATTTAATTAAACAGTAATATTTTAATTCCAGTTTGGCTAAGTACGGGTTGCCCGTAGCCTAACGAAGGTCATTTGGGGAATTCGTTCGCTTACCTGTGATGGCAACTTCACGTATAAGATGCTGGGCGATTTTCGAGCCCTCTTTGTGGATAAGCTGCCTGTTATACGCGTGGTATATCATTGGAACACGAATGTTTCATTATTTGTAGCGCATTAGTGATAATTAATAGGGGGCAGATGCGCGGAATGTATGGGCCTACTGTTACCAACAACGAAGTGATGCGACTTGTATCAAGGGCGCCAGCAGGATCTTATCTCATAGAGGGCAAAGCATGCGAGTTAGATCAACTGACAGACCAATTGACTCATTAAAATCGTATTCCTTAAACAGGTTTGTTTCTACTTATATTATCTTACGAAGGGGCAAGATAATATAAGTATAGATCTTGCACGTGGCTTTATGAGAAAATAGAAAGGTCGACTCAGCGCGTGTATTAAAACGAATTTACCCTTACAAAATACTATTCGTTTGTATTTTTATTCTAAAAAAATAAAGTACAAAGCTTAAACATAAAGCAAATCTAATGAGAAGGGGTTGCTATATCATTTGTAAAAATTATTTTTATCAATGTTATAGATCTTCAACAGATGGCGCCATATACTAATCGTTAAGAAAATTTTTAAAATTTTATTCTAATATGTTAAATAAACATTTAAATATTATAAAATCCAAAAATAACATTTTCAGTCTAAAAAATTAGTTTTAAATAATACATATAAAGAAAAAAACGAAGAGGTTCTAAGGTAGAATGAAGGTGAAATTCCGTTCACAGCACGTAATTTATCAGTAAGATTTATACTATGAGTCCCCGTCTTTTTCATGCATCGATTCCTTTTAAGGAAATCCTTTTTCTACTGACCTCCTAAGGGGAGTCGATACATGAAAACGGTTACACTTTAGGAGCAGCGAATTAGATGCATATTGTATATGCATATATCCAAGAATTTTTATGTATGCGTGTACAATATGTATCTAATTTGCTCATCGACGCCATTTGCAAACCCTCATTTATACAAACGCTGTTAATATTTGGCCTGTATTCAATTATCTGGGATTGTCAAGCTGGTGAACCTAAGACGTAACAAATAACATGCTTTTCTTCTCCACAAAATAATGATTTATATTAAAATGTATGGCCCTATGCTGTAAAATAAAACGTGAGGCCCTAGGCTGCGGCTTGTTTAAATTTACATATAAATCCGGGCCCGAATCAATATCCATTTGGCCAGCCCGGTCCTCAAACACGAAAGGGGCCCTCTAAAATTTCGTGTATTTATGTGAATGATATAAGTTCACGTGTGTCCCAGATTCGATCTCATCTCTCGGAAACTCTAAATGTAGTTATTAATAATTAATATTATAATTGCATCTGTATTGATCAAGAAAATTTATAGGTTTTCTTTTCTATTTTTAATGATATTTTCTTATTAATAAAACTGTTATTTTATCGATTTATGTACTGTACTTTCTATTACTGTTACTAGGATTGCAGATAAGTAAAATAAATATATCTGTAAGTGGTTTCGTAGTTTCTACTGTAGTTATCTGTCGAATTATCTTGGATACTTTCCTGTACTTCGTATTGTTTGTCTCTCGACAATTATGTTAATAGAATTTATTATATTTTAGTGTCTTGAATTGCAAGGTAAACAATTCCCCTGGCTTAGGGACATAAAAATATATGACTAATTTTTAAAAAATGTTGGCACACATACACGCACAGAATTTTTCCCTCTTGACATTTTGGATTCAGGGGTCTCAAAACGTGGAAATTTCAAAAAAATCCGTAAGGTCGATTATAATACTTTCCCTTGTTATATACGTAGCCGCCGGGAAAGTAACACTAGGGATAATCAGCCATTTCGGTCATTATGCCATTCCTCATCCTTTCTGAATGAGCTGATTAGGTTGTCATTCAAGGTGAGAAATGGCTAACGAAAACCCAACGGGAATGATATAGAAATACGAGAAAATCAGAATCGAATTTGAACCCAAATTCCCTCAAGATAACAGATAATCGTAGAATAATCATTCTTTCAATTCCATAAAAAAATCTTTCGTCATTCTTCTATGATAAATTATGATTAATTATTTAACAAATTATAGTAAAACCTGTCTAAAACAAACCCTTTATAAAACGGAATCCTGAACGAAACGATTTTCCATATTAATTACTATTATAAGTTGAAAATCTGTCTAACACGGAAGCAAAAGATTCTTTGAGTATCTGAATTTTGTGATGTAAAAGAAACTAAATTTTAAATTGTAATTAAAATATATTCTAAGAGTAATAGGTTTTAAACAGATTTTTTTCCCTCTGTCACCCACGTTTCGGCCTTTTTTCATGTCTTTGAAAAATAAATTGGAGAAGACGTTCTAAATACAGTCAAACTTCTAAACAACGGCCACTAAACCGTGGCTATCTCTTCTATTTTTCATATCAAACTATATAAAAATAATATAAATAAACTAATTGTTTTTAAAAATAGTAGATTTAGAAAAATTCTAGTGATGTATACATGGGTACAGTTAACTTATTTTATCATTCATGCACAAGAATTAAAAATTCGGAATCGAAATAACTCTAGAAAACAACCCATTAGTAATAATCCTATACGGTATTTAGAATACTTCTAAATACTACATTAACAATACTTAGGTATGGAATGTCGACTGTCTGATAAAAATCTGCTCACTAATTCAATATCTTTCTAATTTGGAAATCAAATTATCCAATAAAAACTTCGGTTTTTATTTAGATGATGTGTGATGCTTTGACCTAACTAAAGTTCGCATCGTTATGTTCCATCCTCCTCCTCCCAATTAGGTTACTTTATGATAGTAACTGTCTGTACTTCATGCTAGAATCTTCTCCAGTTTAGCATTGAATAGGCTATTCGTAGAATGTGGATTAACTTATTATAGAAAGAATAAGTAAAATTAATACTTTTATAAAGCGTGACGAAAATAGTAAACAGTATATTAGTCTGTCTACATTCCATTGATGTGTATTCACGATATCTTTCTTCGTTGTGTGACCTTTGATTGTAAGATCAAGTTTACACGATCGGGGCTGTTTTAAGAACTATCGAGGTCTCAAGTTCTCTTTAAAAGCATTATATAGCTACAGATAGAGAGCAAAAATATTAGTAATGAAGCGTCTAAGAATCCAAGGCTCTCGGTGCTGACCGGATAAGCCCATGTGTTAATGCGCCTATGAACACCAGACAACTCTGATTCACAAGTGACATTGTGTTGGTATACAGAATGATTAGAATGATTCTTATTGCAAAACATGGCGACACTGGAGATTGTCAACCCTAATTTTATTTATTATTATTTCGACTTATTATGGTCCTATACTATAAAATATTGATATAAGAGGTCCT